AGAGAGAGAGAGAGAGAGAGAGAGAGAGAGAGAGAGAGAGAGAGAGAGAGAGAGAGAGAGAGAGAGAGAGAGAAAGAGAGAGAGAGAGAGGACGTTGCACACGACGGCGATGACGACGACGACAAGCGCGAGCGGGAGCCGGATCTTTGAGCGCGCACTCAAAGATTTCAGCGCGCGCTGAAAACATTGAGTGCGCACTGAAAAAAATGAGCACGCTCTGGAATCTTTGAGCGCGTGCTGACGACAGAGGCTGTGCCGCGCGCTGGAGGGGAGGGCGTCGTGGACTAGGGGCACAGGGGTTCGGGTGGGCGTGGTCCCTGCTGCTACCGGCTGTCCCCTAGCCTGTGTGGCCCACGGGAGAAGCCGTGCAGCGCGCTGGAGGGGAGGGGGGCGGGGAGGGGGGGCACAGGGATTCGGGTGGGCATATTCCCTGGTGCTACAGGCTGTCCCCTAGCCGGTGTGGCCCGCCTGCACATGCGCTTTGCAGGTGGACCGACGACGTGTTGGCAGAGGCAGAATGGCAGCGCCACAGCGGCGGGACACCACAGGTTGTTCGGGAGGACCGGGTGGCATTTCGGTGGTAGTTGAGGGTTGGGAACGGGGTGAACGCAGCCTTGCTGAAGGCTGTTTCTTACGGGTCGGCTGGCGCAGCGACAATGCCGAAGCGTCATGTAAACACCTTTGTCCAGGCCAGCGACGACACGCAGGCGAGCATGAAGAAATCAAACTGCATTTACAAATACGTGCTCGTTGGCCAGGAGCTTTCTGAGAAGCTCCGTGGTCAAAGGATGCTTCGGTGCGTGTTCTGCGGGAACGAGTGGCAGAGGAACAGGCATTGGGCAGCGCGGCATTTTCGTAGCGTGAAGGGATGTTCGCAGGTGACTGACGAAGCTCTTATAGAGATGCATTACACGAGCGGTTACGCATTTGAGGGGAAGTGGTTGGAGCGTATCCACAAGTACGAGGAGCTTCACGGTCCTTGGGTGGACGAGAGGAGGACTGGCAGGGGTCAGGCGCAGGCGCGGGCGGCGTCCAACGCCACAGTCGGAGCACGGCAACAGGGCGATGACGTCGTCGATTTGGATGGCGAGGGAGAGGATTGCGGGGCCGCGGGGGTTGACGGGGAGGTCGAGGCTGCATACTCACAGCGCCCTGGCAAGTTGCCGGTCGGTGAGGGTGGTTCAAATTCAGGGAAGAGGAAGGATGTGGTTGGTGCAACGATGCAGCAGGGGAAGAAGATGAGGCAGCCGTCGATAAAAGAGGTGTTCGGGTCTGACAGGGCTGCTCAACACAGAAGGTGTGGTTGCGCTTCGTGTACAACAACCAGCTTCCCTTCAACATCTTTCGGAGCCCGACGTGGAAGGCGTACACTGCACACTTCAGGGACAAACCCGCTTCAGTCCCCGTGGTTTGGCCTTCTAAAAACGAAGTCGCATCGATGGACACAGTGCTTGAGACGGCGACGGACGTTGTTGCGGGTCTCAAAGACATACAGGAGCCGTTTGACCGCACAGGGCAACGATCATGCCCGATGGTAGAAAGTCTCGTTATGGGAAACCCATCGTGAACTTCCTTGCAGCCGTCGCTCGAGGAGTGATGATGTATCATACCGTCAACAGGGAGGGTGAAAAAGATGATGCGCTCGGAGTGTTGGGGAGGTGGATATCGGTTTTGACCGACTTTGGTCCCGACAGGGTTAATGCCATTTGCACAGACTCTTCGTCTGCCTACGTAAAGGCAGACAACGCTTTGGCCCATCCTCACATGCGGCCTGAGTACAGATAAATTACGTGTCTTCCCTGTGCAGCGCATGTGTGCAACAAATTGTTGTCAGACATCGCGACAACGAGCCCGTGGTGCATAGACATTATTGTGCGGGCGAGAGCGGTGGTGCATTTCATAAAAATGCACGGCCGAGCTGATTTTTTGTTCAGGAGAGAGAGTCGCCATCTAGGTTTGTTGTACTCTTGTGAGACTCGCTTCGCTTCTGTGTACTCGATGCTAGAGCGGTTGGATGCTGTGCGGCGTCCTTTGGAGCAGATGGTGGATGGGACGGACCGGTGCAGGGAGCCTTGGGCGACTACGCCGATCAGGCAGCATGCGCGATGGGTACAGTGGCAGATCCGGCATGAATGTTGGTGGGACTCCATGGACATCTTGCGTGCCTTTATGGAGCCGGCTTCTGATCTGCTTCGCAAGATGGATCGTGGAGGGTTATGCATGTCTCGAGTGGTCGAGTGGACTGGACGGTTGGCGAGGGAGGTGGAGGCGGCTGTTAGGCCGCTGCAGGATGGATTGGCGGATCAGATTTTCAGGAGCGTGCAGGAGCGCGTCGCTCATATGTGTGAGCCTGCGCATGCTGCGGCGCACCTCCTTTGTCCGATGAGGAGGTCGATGCAGTATTACAGTGGCGTGGTGAAGGACGAGGACAAACGACTTGTGAGGGAGGCGGAGCGGTACATTCTGTCGCAGACCGGGTTTGATGAGCGGCGGAAGGAGTACCGGGACGCTGTGTTGCAGCTGCGGGATTTTCATATGCGCACATCGACTTGCGCATGGGGAGGGGAGCAGGCACGTGCCGCAGCGGAGATGTGTGTCGGAGAGTAGGAGACCGTTGAGAGTGGTCTTTGGTGGTCACAGTTTGGCGGCTGTGCTCCTGAGCTTCAACGTATCGCTCTTCGTGTGTTGTACATGTGGACGTGCTCCTCTCCCGCAGAGCGGAACTGGGCCATCCACGAGAGTATTCACACGAAGAAGCGTAACAAGTTGCTGTTCCCGATGGTCACGAAGTTGGTGGAGATCACGGCCAACACGCATTTTTTGGCTCTTCAGAGTCGTGGTGGAGGTTTGGTTCTTCCGTGGACTCAGGATGAGTCCATATTGGATGTCGAGGGTGGCTTGGAGGCAGACGCTGTATGCGAGGGGGTGGACCACAGCATACCTGAGGAGGGTCGCGATGCGCAGGCGCAGTTGTGGCGGCGGGGTGCTTGTGGGTCACGACCACCGCCTCCCGTTGAGGATGTGTTCGGGGTTCGGGCCGCCACTTTGAGGCTGTACCCGGGAGATGACTCGAGTGGAGATGAGCGCGAGGAGGCAGATGAGGGTTTCCGCCCCCGCGGTGCTGGTGCTGCCCGGCATGCGGAGGACGACGATGACGCTTGGAGTGAACCTGAGGAGGTTCACCGGCGTAGCGGTGGCAAAGATGTATTCAAGGACACAGTTAGGGGCAGGTTTGGAGTCGAGGGATGCTGGGACGGATCTGGGAGCCCTCTTGTCGAGCCAATTCCTCACATCTCATCGCCGACCGCACATGAGGCAGAGGGGGACATAGCGGGCATTCGAGGAGCCCATCACAGAGAGGGTCCGACAGGCAAGGGTTCATTAGCGAGCGACGAGGATTCAGAGGGGCGTGGAGGAGCTCCTGAGCTTCTGCGGCTTCGGAAGGGTCCGAGGGTCGCAAAGAGACAACTCATACTGGGTTCTGAGTCACCGCCGTCATGTAGGGGTGCGACCGGTGTGGGAACAGGGGGAGCGGAGATCGGAGACGCAGGACATGATCGTCTGACAGACGACAATAGAGAGACAGGCACCGGAGATGTGGCCAGAGGTGTTGCTTGGTCGCTAGGGGACATTGGGACACTAGGCGCTCTGCCTGGTAGTAGCACGGGTCACGGAGAACAGTTTGATGATGCCCATCATGAGGGGGTGCCACAAGATGAGGCAGTTGGCGATGGGAACCACGCTTTGGAATCAGCGTCCGTGCACGATTTCATGGCCGAGCTAGAGACCGCTCTGCCATCCATGACGGAGGGTGAGTCTATTGTTGCGCGACGGGCTGACGACGAAGATGTTCGGCCTCGACCACAGACAGTTCACATGGGAGTGCCTGCACCCGACACCGAGGAGGAGCGGATGGCTTGAGAGGCGAGGGAGGATGAGGAGGAGGCCGCAAGGGCCAAGGCCCTAAGCAATGCTGACCCACGCACACAGGCCATGGCACGTGACATGGAGGCCATGCGTCAGTTAGAGACTTGGGGAGAAGGACTGCGAGGCGATGTGGCAAAGGATGACCAGATGGAGGCATCTGCCCACATTTCACATGCGGCTCAAGAGATAGACGATGATGCACCACCGCCCGATATCGACAGCGCACCCATCGTCCCGCCATCGCCTGACGGAGAGGTGGACGCCGTTGCAGTGGCACACGACAGAGAGGCGCGCGGCGAGACAATGGTTCAGTTCACTGTGGCATAGGATGCTGCTGCTCAGGCGGTGGCCCCTCAGATAGTCGATGGTGTAGATACGACTTTGCTGGGAGATCTAGGAGCGGTACCAGGGGGAGACGTGCAGGATGAGGAGGCAGTTGGGAGTCCAGCTGCGGTGGGGGGAGATGCAGAGACAGGGGAGGACAGGGTTCGGGAGGTACATGGAGATGTGAGGACACGCGAGGAGGAGGGAGCAGGAGTCATGGCGCCACCGCCCATTCGGCATGATTCACCGACGGCCACACTTCGACCACCCAAACAGCGGTCCCGGCATCGTCCACCTCGTTACGTAGAGCAGCCACGAGGCAGTTTGATGTTCGGCGCGATGACTGTCGATGAGTTGGGCGCTTGCCTTGCGACAGATCTCACAGAGACGAGACGTGGAGTGAGGATCGGTTCAAAGAAAGGCAAAGCACTACTACCACGCGTGCAGTCCGTTTCATGGGGCCCTACTAGCCCGACACCGCCACCAAACGCTTCGGTAGCGGTGGGTCCATTGGGCGGCGCAGTCCCCTCCCAGTGTGACACGAGATCGTGGGACACGACCTTCTGCGCCAACCTCAGCGGAGGGCAGGACTCGAGACCGTGGACAGGCGACAGCGGGGGCCGTGGCTTCTTTACTTGGCCGCACTGACATTCCTTGGAGCGACACGAGGAGGTCGACCACGGGTACCAAGAAGAGGCAGCCCAGGTTGGGGAGGAGATGCTCGTCCACATCATCGACGAGGGAGGTGCATGCTGCTGGGTTCGAGCATCGTGGCGGGTCGAGTGCTGAGGTTGAGGGTGCGGGCGGACGCGGATCTGCAGCGCCCGGCACATGAGTGTCGACTCACGGATTGAGCGAGGTTTCACAGATCCTCGGGGCAGATGTGTTGGGGCCTCCCAGGACACAGCGACTGCTACCGGGACGAGCATCACGCCTGGACGGCGAGACCACTGGGAGCGAGGGGTTGGAGATGATGCCAGGGAGACGTTGCACTGACACCCTCTTAGCGGCGTCGCAGAGGGAGATGAGACCGGATGGCGTCACGGTGGTTGATGACGATCACACTGACGTCGCTGCAGAGGAGGCTGACGGAGAGGAGGACCTGTCGATACACGAGGCACGCCTGGCGACCTTGGAGCGTGGAGAGCAACGGAGCACGGGCCCCCGCACACGCGCTGGACGCCATTGACTTTTTTGGTGATTGATAGGGGTCAGCGGCACGACCTCATTATGCAGTTTTGACACGTTCATTTATTGTTTGTCGCTGTAGGATGGTCTTTTTCCTTATTAGGCAGTGCACATTTTTCCTCTTTCATGCAGATGGTTCATTGTGAAACCTTTCTGGGTGCACACACATTTCGACCTTTCATATTTCGTATGGTACGCTCACTTCGACAGTACTGTTTGTTATTGTCCATGATGTTTTATATGACATAACTCTATGTGGAAACTTTGTGCAGCCGTATGTTTTTTTTTAATCTTTTGTGTGCATTTTTCCTTTCCCTTTGGACCTCGTCTGCCTAGTTTCTGTTGTTTCTTCTTTTGTGCAGGTGACCTATGTTTGTTTTTTCACCTATGGGACGCTACTCCCATCAAACCTCGCGCCCGCCTTAAGTTTAGGCGGGCACGAGCCTTGCTGGGGGTAGCCAGACCCAAACACCACCCAACCCAAACCA